ATCAGCACTAAATAGTAAATCTTGCGCCAACAAAGACAAATGATTACCAACTGACATGATCCGCATTATCTCTGAGTGGGGCTTTAGGTTTTCTTGAGTCATTTAACATGAAAAAGGCAAGCAGATAATAGATTAGATCACCACAAGGGACATGTTACTCCACTGTGATTGGTTGCTTTGATTTCAGGTGACTTGTGATGCTCCGGGGGACAAACTGCCACTACATGGAATGTGCCATTGGGTATTTTGGGTTTCAGAGCTCAAAGAGATGTCATCTTGCTTTTGTGTTTTTCTGTACTCAAACCTTTACAACACTCAAACAACTTGAAGCTACAATAGCAAGTTTGAAAAACAATTTAGCTAAAAACTAAATTTTCATGCATCTTAACAATGTTCTAACATAGCATGAATATATCGTGGGGATTAGTGATAAGATAAAGTGGTTCTCTCGCATTTGGCTAAAAACCTGCACCGATAACACCTTTTGTAAAGAAAGCAACTATTGGAGCATCTAGTTGTCGGTCTGGCTGAACCACCACACTTCCCTGGGTCCTCCAATCATGACACACTCACGTATTTAGCAACAGCACACCACTGGTGTGTGTGTGTGTGTGTGTGTGTGGTGGTGGTGGTGGGGGGGGGGGGGGGGGGTCCGTGATCGTGTTTGCGTTCAAAACCTCACTTGCTTGCAGATTCGCAAAGCAGCTTTAAAATAAGTATGAGTCACTTGAAAAAAGTAAACTAATGTGCAAGATATTTGAACATTTACCCTGCAATACTCTTAAAATGACATTTTACAAAATGTTGCAGAAAATTAGTTTAATTAGAATTTATATGAAAGGGAACCTTGTTTTGAGTTTTCAGAATGAATTACCTATATTTACATCAAAGTAAGTCATGAACACAACAAATGATCTTAGTGCATTTTTGGTTCTTTTTTTAGGCCCTGTCCACACGTAGCCGGGGATCTGCTGGGGAGAAGGTCTGAGAAAAAGAGCAACCTCAGCACCGAAAACGCAAATCTGACCTGTGTGTGAAACTAAATTCCGGTGCCATTCAATATCTTTTGGGGCCGTGCCGACACTAATGTGTAAGCGCCATATGTTCCTGAAAATGGCCATTTGGCCAGCTGTTTAAGTGGAGACCAAAAATGACGGAAAGTTCTGGACCATCCATCCTGAAGTTCCAACAATGGAAACACACCTGTGGTGTTGAAAAATCTTGCAAAAGCCTTCCTTCCAGTCACACCCCCCAAGACCTAAATGTAAAACCCAATAAATGTACAATCGACAAGTAAATAATCTGAATTAAAAACATGTACGTATGTTGCCGCTGCTCACCATTTTCAAAGCACGTTTAAATCTCCATAGTTTTTGTGACGACAGCAAAGGGCGAATTGAACTGGTCATAAAAAAAATGTCACAATAACATTTCAAATAACTTTGAAATGTCTTTTTTGACATTTTTGTGTTTCTGTGTTGGATGCATATTTTCTTTAATGAAAAAATAAAAATAAATGAATAAATAAAACAGCATGTAATACATCGACACAGGCTATACTTTCCCAGAATTATTTGGTGTGCCACCCCAAATAATTGCCCCCCCCCCCCCCCCGTGCCCCCTGGGAGCACCACTGCTTCCTCCATCAAGGTTCCTCAGCACCTTCAAAGCCCATCAAACCTTCAGCAACACATTTGTAAAAACTTTGCAATAATCAGTTAGCTTTATTAAATGATTTCCGTGGATTGGAAGGACGTTCCATCAGCAGTCTGAATCCTTAACCAAGCAGAACTTTGATGATCTACGTTTATCCTTTACTCAGTGAAATTATTCTTAGTCTTGATTTATGCTTTCATGAAGTTATGAAGGCAGTGCAGAAACAAATGCTATTGAAGCAAAATTCATAAAAATGAAAATAAAAGTATCAGAAGAATATAAATCACTTATCTTTCCAAGGTGGATTGTTTTTGTGCACCAGCAAGAAAGAGGATTTTTTTCGTTTATTTCATTCAAAATAAAACCAAATAAAACATAGAAACAATAAGAAATACATAACAAAAAATCTAATTTGAACGAAAAGGAGCAGAATGAAGAAAAACATCTTATAATTTCTGCCCCCTTTTCCAGTAGAAATAATCAATTTATATATAATTACCATTTGTCAGACACACATACAGATTCATTTTAAACTTTTTCCTGTTGTAAATTCCAGTGCGATCATGATCATTGATTTAATTTACATTTTCAAAATTATTTAGTACACTCAATTTGGTACATTTTTTGAATATATTAAATGACAGTTTTTTTTTATTTCCCTTTTAAGGTTATTCCATAATTTAACACCATTTACAGATATATTCCATTCCTTAATTTTAGTTCTAAATCTAGGTTTTGTAAACACATCAGTTTCTTTCAGCATGCAATTACTAGTTCTCTTTTCAAATATCCCCTGAATGTTTGTTGGCAGAGTACCTAAATTGGCTTTATACATGGTTTGTAAGATTTTCCAGTCTTTTAAATCATGACATTTCAGTAATTTATATTTAATAAAATGGGTTCGATGGATCTCTACAGCCACTATAATTGATGATTCTCAGAGCTCTTTTCTGTATAATAAATAAGGGTTGTGTATAGTTTTTGTATGTCGCTCCCCAGATTTCTACACGAGTATGGAACAATCAGTGAATTGTACAATGCCAACAAACCAGAATTAGTCAGTAAAAACTTGACTCTATGTAATACTCCTAAGGATTTGGCAATTTTACCTTTTATGTAACTAATATGGGATTTCCATGTCAAGTCTTCATCAATAAGAACTCCCAAGAAATTTAGTTTATTTTACTCTTTGAATTGCAATCCCATTTCCAATGACACATCACTGTTCTTTTTATCATTAAACAGTATAAAAATTTTTTATTTAGATTCAGTGTCAATCTATTTATATCAAACCAGTTTTTAACTTTAATCAGTTCATCATATATCACTTTAGCCACCTCCTCAATGTTTGATTCTGAGTAAAACAGTGTTGTATCATCTGCAAATAGAATGGTACCGAGTGTATTAGATACATTTACCAAGTCGTTAATAAACAAAATGAACAGTTTTGGTCTGAGGACTGGCCCTTGTGGCACTCCACAATTAATTTCACAGTCTTAAATTATGGTCCTTTCTCTGAACAAACTGTTTCCTTTTTTCTAAATAAGTTTTAACCCATTGATGAGCCACACCTCTTTTTCCATAAGGACATAATTTTCGAAGTAACCTTGAGTGATCAATGACATCAAAAGCTTTTTTCAAATCAATGAAAACACTAACAAAGTCATTTTTATTGTGAATTGCTGTTGATATTTTATCCATGAATTCCATTGCCATTGATGTGGAATGTTTTGTTCTAAACCCATATTGTTCATTGTTTAAAATATTTTTTTCGATGAATTTATCCAACCTTGATACAAATACTTTTTCCGATATTTTAGAAAACTGTGGAAGCAGTGACATCGGCCTGTAATTATTGAAACTATGTTTATCACCACTCTCGTACAAAGGAATGACTTTCGCTGTTTTCTTTGCAACAGGAAAATTTCCAGTAGAAAGTGATAGATTACAAATGTAAGTGAATGGTTCAATGACAGATTCTATGATGGTTTCAACTGTTATGTCCAGGTCCTGATAATCGGTTGATCGTTTGTTTCCGCAGTTTTTTATTAAGGTGATGGAGAAATTTGCAAAAAATGGAGGAGTTTGGCAGATGTTGCTGTAATTCCCAGGTCATAAAAATGTTACAAAGAAAGAAATCAATGCAACAAGAATCTGGTGAAAACAACTGGTTAAACAAAGGTGACCTGTCAAACGAGACGATTTCAATGCAGCCCATAATCCCGGCTATCAAAATAACAGATATGCATCTAAATGGAGTATGACATTTTGATAGGCTGTCATTCATTTTCCTACTTCAAGACAAATTAGTTTGACCCTGAACAAATCTGCTTTAGGAAGAGCAGATCTGTGTGTGCGGGAAACAGCACAAACAGGCACCACTCAGATGTGAGCACACACAATCGGACAATCCAAAGCCTGTTTATTTTTAAAAATGCATACTCGCAGAGGGCTGAACCCTTTTCATCTTCCTTGCATTTACTGTCCCTTCCTTCCCCGTGTCCCGTCCATATACCGCCCTTCTAATCCCTTCCACTGAAGTGCAGGAGACCTAGTGGCTCTGGGCGAGAAATAGGCAGGGAAGTAAATTAGAGAGTGGAGAGGAGACTCGAGATGAGAGGGAACGAAAAGGAAAAGAGCCTCTCAAGCTGCAACTTCAGACCAAGACAGGGAGAAATGAGGCCAGTTGAGTTAGAATAATAAAAAAACGAGTGCAACGTTTTTTTATTCAAACACCCCTTTTTAAACGTTATTAGAAGAAAAATAATTAAGTACAACAGCAATAAGAAAAATAGTGGGAGCTTTTCAAACGTGAGGAAAATAAAAGCATAAACCTCATCCCACAGGCAGGGATTAAAACTAACTCACATTCACAAAAACAATTCATTACAGCACTTGTACAATTTTTAAAATAAAGCTTTTATTTTTATTGGCTGTAGCCTTAAATAACCAGTTCCTTTCAACTGACTTTTGAGGTGATCTCATAAAAGTCAAGCTGGAGTCTTTTCACAGCCAGGAGCAGAAGCAGGCGGGGCGATTACTCACTCCTCCTCGCTAACCTGAGGTGGTGAAAGGTGAGCAGCAGCAGGCTGCAGCTCAGGAGCTGAGAGACTCAAACAAACTCTAAATCAGGGACTTTTCCTTTCTTTCATAATGAGTGATGGTGATTTTATATTCTCACCCGGCTGCGGCAATCACCCACCCTAGAGGCGACGCTAGAAATAAATCTATAACTAATCCTATCTGAAGGGAAAAGCTTCAATAGACACTTTTTTTCCTCAGCTCTGTGATGAAAACGTCAGAAGTTAATTCATTAACATTGTGTAAAAAACATTGCAAAGATGTAAACAGACAATGTTTATTGCTTCCTTGAAGTGAGACGAATGAACTTTAAAAATACACAAACAGCTATGGCTTTTCCATCTGCCTCTCAATCCATTTTCATTATTATTACAGGGGCACAACCATGTAATGTTGATAAGGCAGCATCTTCTGTCGCTCATTGATTGCATAAATCCATGCTGGTTTGACAAAGTGCAGATTGCTGTTCTCCTTCAGCGCCTGTAATCAGAGAAAAGTTTTTTAAATGACACGACGCTAAAATATTCTCAAATTATTAAAAATGCTAAATTAGATGCCAAGAAGTCAAATTCTGATGTAGTCTTAAAAAATGAAAGGTGCATTATGTAAGACTGAAGTAAGAACGACATCTAGTGGTTGAATGTGGGTACTGCAGGCATTTTCAAAACAAGCAAGCAACTTTTTCATTCATGTTTCGTGAGTTTTGTGGCTGTTGTCAGTTACGGATCAGCGCCAGAAGATTCTAGATGAGGAGCAAAGACGAGTCATACACAGTGAGTTGATCAGCAGATAAATACATTTCACTGTAATATTGAGTTCCAGTTGAAAAACCAGCTTGATAAATCTTTTGAGTGGACTATTTGCTTCTAATTCACCGTTAGCATTGTTAGCTCAACGTTAGCCTCTAGCCTTCTTTACTTGATATCGAGAGTAAAACAAAAGGATACTGTGGCTTCTAAAGCCTGGGGCACACCAGAGACAGCGGAAGTGCCGTGGTTTTGAGAAGTCAGGTGGTCACATAGGACGCACCACGCCACTGAGCGCTTCTTGGAAAGTCATCATCATCATCATCCTTTATTTATAAAGCACGTTTAAACAGCGACTACGCCAACCAAGTGCTGTACAAGACGATAGGACACCAAACTAGAAGACAGCAGCATAAAATAGATAAAAACACTTAAAAACTAGAAAACAGCGGCATAATTAGATAAAAATAAGTAAAGAAAAACTAAAATGACAAACTTAAGGGTTAAACCATCTCAGCTGGGTAAGCCAGGGAATAAAAATATGTCTTCAGACGTACTTTTAACAGTTGGAAGGGAGGGGGCAAGTCGGACCGTCAGGGGGAGTTTGTTCCAAAGCTTAGGCGCACAAACTGAAAAAGCCCGTTCGCCACGTGCCCTATAGCGAGCTGGAGGGACGAGCAGAAGGTGCTGGTCAGAGGACCTCAAGGTTCGCACCAGAACATAGGGGCTTAAAAGCTGCGCCAAATAAAAGGGTGCCATTTCATGCAAACATTTGTACATCAGCAGTATAATTTTAAACTTAATCCGAAACTGAACAGGAAGCCAGTGCAAATTTGCCTGAACAGGTGGGATGCGTTGCCATCGGTCTGTTTGTTAGAAACCTCGCTGCAGCATTCTGTACCAATTGGAGGCATACCATTGAAGAGGAGGGAACCCAATATAACAGTTAGCATAGTCCAAACGTGACGTTACAAAAGCATGAACAACTGTCTTGGTAAGGACCAATTTTAATTTAGTCAGCCGGCGAAGATGAAAGAAACACGACCCGACTATCTGGTTTATCTGTGTATCCATTTTAAAACTGGCGTCCAGTATGACCCCCAAAGTTTTAATTGTCGGCTTCAGAAAAACTGACAAAGAATGAGGCAGAGATGGCTCCACAGCAGAGGGGGAGCAGGGGGCAAAAAAAAAAAATAGCCTCCAGTTTGGAGCTGTTCAGATGGAGGAAATTGGCAGTCACAACATCACGTGGGACTTGAGAACAGGAAGCTCTTTTTTATAAGTGATCAGACTTGCCATCATGATTTGAGAGACCTTAATTCATAAAAAATGGGTAAGTACGCTATTTATTAGTATATTTTAAGATCAGTAGTACTTTAAAGTTATCAGTACTTTAAAGTTAGGTTTTTTGCCGGCAGTTGGGTTCGTGCCGTAAAGCTGCTCTGTGTCGTAATGTCTGTTGTAAAGAACTCCACAATGCTGTAAACAGATTGTAAATAGTGACTATGACCTCTTGTTTTTTTTTTTGTTAGTTTGTTTTAAAGAAAAAAATGACAACCCTTCTGCCAACTGAGAAGGAAATATGCTTTGGTAAAACCTTTCTTCCAACATGATGGAGACAGTTTTTATTATTTCACAGTAAAATTCTTACATATTGCTTCTTTAAGTTAAATGTTTCTTAAAATCCTTTCATTTGCTTCTTTGGTCTTATTAGTCTATTTAGAAAAGTATACTAAGTCCACAGTAATAAGAGGCCTCTTCACCCAAAGCCTGAATTGTATCTTTTAAAATCTAAATTAAAGAGTTTTTTAAGTGCACTGTGTGTATGTGAGCAATCCATTTTTACCAAGCAACTACCCTCGTAAAATGATCTTTTAAAAGACAAATAAAGCAAGCCTTCACATAAAAATGTTAATAGCTTCCATCGACAATGACGAAGAAGAAAACCCACATCTTCAAAAGACTCGTGCCATCCTTCACTGGTCACAACAAACTGCACTTTATCCGACATGTACTCCTCAATCACTCTGGAGCAAAGAAAGCAGAGAGTAATGAGATTAGAACAGAATGTCTTTTTCCTGATCCCTATGAGAAAATACCCTAAAAACTTATCCTCACCCATTAAAGGCAACGATGTACCGAAGCAGAAGCCGCCTTTCGTTGTTCGGGAATTTACCGTAGAGGAAAAAGTGCTTCCCGCGTAGAAAATCTGCAGAGAAAAAAACCCCAAAAGAAAATGAGAAGAAAATAAAGGAGGCAGGTGAAACACTATACAACATGTAGGATGATGCAGAAGAACAGGTTTGACCCCGAGTGGAAGATGAACAACGGACAGAAAAAGACCAGGACAGCGACGGACATACCTGGTAGCTCTGGGATGGGATGATCCACCTCGGCTTCAGCATCCGTGTTTTCATCTGTCGATCCTCCGTACGGATCCTCCTCTTTAACTGGCGTTTTCTCTCCGGGAACCTTCTTCTGACGGCTTTCCAAAACCCTTTATATAAAATTATTTTATAGAAAGAAAGAAAGAAATCTCACATGTTTCAGCGCTCATTGCAAAAGACGACCCATTGTGAGTTGGAAGTTTGTGGAAAACGTTCTGTGATCAGTTTAAGCATAACTAAGGGACCCTAAGGAAAGTGTTTGTGGTGTAACATTTAACAGCTAGTCTGAAATAGATCGCCACTGTCCTCAAAGCTTTACACTGCTGTCACTTTAAAGTTATTTACAGGCAAAAATAGCAAAATATAGCACTTCTGATGTACACACAGTTGCAAATCAGACAAAAATGTATTAATATTTCTGCAAAAATAAATATGTATTGCAAATTTGACTGTTCTGGTATGATTTAAAAGTATTTTTAATATTTAAATGTATTTCTGTGAAAGAAAGAGAGCAGAACTGGACTTAGTAGTACTTAAACTAGCTGTTGGTGCATAACAGGGTTCATTCACCTTTGCTAAAATCAAGTAGAAGCACTTTTAATTAGATTTTTGAAGAATTTTTAGCACTGAGAATGTATTTCACAAACGCTTATGCTCAAACTGAGCTAAAATCGATTTCAGTTACGTATTTTATTATTATTATTATTTTTTTTACTTATTTAAAGCACTTTCAAAATACTAAATTAAATTTGAAGGACCTGTAGGAGCCCCACCATAACCCTTACTGGACATAAACTACTTCTTCAAACAGAGATCATTCAGGTTGCTAATAATTCATATTATTTACACAAAAACACTCTTCAAAATAGCCCCCAAACACATTTATTATATGGTACAAATGAAATAAAATATATAAAAACCTACAAATAAATTATGAGGGATGCGCTTAGGGCTGGCCGATATGGCCTAAAATCAATATCACGATATATTGAGGATTTCACCTCGATAACGATAAATGGGCGATAACTACAGGCATGCGCAGACAAAAGTTGTCCACTAGATGGGGCTGTCACGTGAATTACCTTGAGTCATATTTTTACATGACTCAAGGTGGTACAGCTTCTTAAAGGGACACGAACGTTGCCAACCTACACTCATCTTTTAATTTTTTAATAACAAATTTATTGACAGGACAGGACATGGACAGGAGCGTATTCTGATGAGAAGGGTTAAAGAAAATTGCCATGCAAGTTTACTGCAGTTAGCTAAAGCAGTGGAAAGCCAGACTGGAGTGACCGTTTCCCATGACACCATACGGCGCACACTGCAGAGGAATGGTATGCATGGGTATCGTCCAAGAACAAAGCCTCTCCTGAAGCCCATGCACAAAAAAAGCACACCTAGGATTTGCTAGGGCCCATGCTGAAAGGGATGAAGACTACTGGGACTCTATACTCCAGATTGATGAGGCAAAAATCCCTGTTTTTGGAACTAATGGTTTCTAAACTGTATGCCGTCGTAAAGGTGAGGAATTCAAAGTGAAATGCATGGTGCCTACAGTGAAACACGGTGGTGGTGGCGGTGTCCTTATGCAGTACGCATGAGTGCTGCTGGTGTTGGGGAGCTGCATCATTATGGTATCATGAACTCAACGATGTGCTGCTCTATACTGAAGGAGGAGATGCTGACATCTCTCCGTGCACTTAATCACTTTTCCAACACGACAATAATCCAAAACACACACATCTAAACCTACTGTTGCATTTCTGAAGAACAGGGAGAAGGTGTTTAAATGGTCAAGTACATCTCCTGATCTGAACCCAATCCAACACCTGTGGGGAACTCTAAAGTGGCAAGTTGAGCATCACTCTCCATCCAGCATCCAGGCTCTAAAAGAGGTCACTCTTGAAGAACGTTCACCTTGTTCATTCCATGCCTAGACGACTTGGTGCTGTCCTAGAAAACCACGGTGGTCATAAAAAATACTAGATGTAGTCGTTTTTATTGCTCAGTGTTTTCCTTTTTGCTTCAACCAATTTTAGTAAAACTGAAGATTTTTGTGATCTAAGTTTTATTAATAACCTTAATTTCATGTTATGGAGTTAAGTGTTCAATAGAACCCAGCCTTGTGAAAATTCAGGAAATTGTTCTTTTTTCATAAAATTTGTACTGGTTTTTATTGAAAATACAGAATTATCGCCTGATCTGTGGCAGTAGTGGGTGACCTTTATTTATATCTGTCTAATTATATATATATATATATATATATATATATATATATATATATATATATATATATATACATATATATACATACATACAGTGGGGCAAAAAAAGTATTTAGTCAGTCACCGATTGTGCAAGTTCTCATACTTAAAATGATGACAGAGGTCAGTAATTTACATCATAGGTACACTTCAACTGTGAGAGACAGAATGTGAAAAGAAATCCATGAATTCACGTGGCAGGATTTTTAAAGAATTTATTTGTAAATCAGGGTGGAAAATAAGTATTTGGTCACTTCAAACAAGGAAAATCTCTGGCTCTCACAGACCTGTAACGTCTTCTTTAAGAAGCTTTTCTGTCCTCCACTCGTTACCTGTATTAATGGCACCTGTTTGAACTCATTATCTGTATAAAAGACACCTGTCCACAGCCTCAAACAGTCAGACTCCAAACTCCACTATGGCCAAGACCAAAGAGCTTTCGAAGAACACCAGGAAAACAATTGTAGACCTGCACCAGACTGGGACGAGTGAATCTACAATAGGCAAGTAGCTTGGTGTGAAAAAATCAACTGTGGGAGCAATTATCAGAAAATGGAAGACATACAAGACCACTGATAATCTCCCTCGATCTGGGGCTCCATGCAAGATCTCATCCCGTGGGGTCAAAATGATCATGAGAACAGTGAGCAAGAATCCCAGAACCACACGGGGGGACCTGGTGAATGACCTGCAGAGAGCTGGGACCACAGTAACAAAGGTCACCATCAGTAACACACTACAACGGCAGGGAATCAAATCCTGCAGTGCCAGACGTGTTCCGCTGCTGAAGCCAGTGCATGTCCAGGCCTGTCTGAAGTTTGCCAGAGAGCACATGGATGATACAGCAGAGGATTGGGAGAATGTCATGTGGTCAGATGAAACCAAAGTAGAACTTTTTGGTATAAACTCAACTCGTCGTGTTTGGAGGAAGAAGAATACTGAGTTGCATCCCTAGAACACCATACCTACTGTGAAGCATGGGGGTAGGAACATCATGCTTTGGGGCTGTTTTTCTGCTAAGGAGACAGGACGACTGATCCGTGTTAAGGACAGAATGAATGGGGCCATGTATCGTGAGATTCTGAGCCAAAACCTCCTTCCATCAGTGAGAGCTTTGAAGATGAAACGTGGCTGGGTCTTCCAACACGACAATGATCCCAAACACACCGCCCGGGCAACAACGGAGTGGCTCCATAAGAAGCATTTGAAAGTCCTGGAGTGGCCTAGCCAGTCTCCAGACCTCAACCCCATAGAAAATCTGTGGAGGGAGTTGAAAGTCTGTGTTGCTCGGCGACAGCCCCAAAACATCACTGCTCTCGAAGATCTGCATGGAGGAATGGGCCAAAATACCAGCTACTGTGTGTGCAAACCTGGTAAAGACCTATAGTAATCGGTTGACCTCTGTTATTGCCAACAAAGGTTATGTTACAAAGTACTGAGTTGAATTTTTGTTATTGACCAAATACTTATTTTCCACCCTGATTTACAAATAAATTCTTTAAAAATCCTGCCATGTGAATTCATGGATTTTTTTTCACATTCTGTCTCTCACAGCTGAAGTGTACCTATGATGAAAATTACTGACCTCTGTCATCGTTTTAAGTGGGAGAACTTGCACAATCGGTGACTGACTAAATACTTTTTTGCCCCACTGTATGTATGTATGTATATATATATATATATATATATATATATATATATACATTTTATGGGTTAAATAAGATTAGTCATGAAACTCCGCCCACGTTGTTTTTGCTTTTCTTCTGCGTACCTCTGCAGCTCATCCTCTGTGTCCAACGCAGAATCATCATCATCACCTCCTGTAGAAAGGAAGCGTTTAGTAGATTTCATCATTTTGTGGCTCATATCTCCCAAAAAGCATATTTAGATGATGGGAAAGGTCTTGTAGAGATTTATGGCACGTTCAACCTTTATATAGCTTAACACACAAGTTCATCAACACACAAGCCACATTGACTGCACTGTGGCCCCAATCTTGAAACTAATTAACTCTAATAATGTCTGAGAGGTAAATCTGCTTTAAATTCCCCCTGGTCATCTGGGGAAAGGAGTTTACCATCTAATTTAAATGCCAGGTGAGTCCTTGCTTCTCTGAAACATACATCAGCAGACATAACCTCGCTGGCAACATGGCTATTACCATAACCACCTGTGTTGTCGAAGAGGGAAGCATCTCCCTATGTAGGAGGTGTGTTGGTGTGTCAGCGCATGTTGTTCCGCCTTAATGATGCACCTCAGCACTTCCCTCCTGGCCTCACATTAACATAGAAATGAGAATCATGCACAAGTCCCTCCACAGTGATTACGTCCAGCCTCCATCTCCGCTCTTTTCCCTTCGACTACACCTACAGTATGAGATCTTCCAGCGTCATTGTTGTCCTCCCATCCATTTCCAAGAGCCTCATAAAGGTCAGGCCTTTAGTCCAATCCCTGGACTCCTGTTTCGTCCCCCAGCCCCTCTTCATTCATCCAGTCCTCTTCATCACCACGGCTGCTCCCTCTCAGTCTAGTTATGTGAGCTAATAGAATCGACCGCCACGTGTCGCAGCTACCTAATCTCAGCTCTTAGATGAGTTTATTACAGATATCATCATCTTTATGCATCGAGGGATTTGAGGTGAATGAAGGTTTTATTTCTGCTTTGATTAAAACCCTCACCTTGCTGATTAAAAGCATGTGTGGAGACTTAGTTTGTAGTTTCATTATGTGACATATTAATTATTCATTGCAACTTTTTATTTGTGGCATGCAGCCTTGAGGTTGTGAAGAGAACCTTGGATTAAACTCTGTATGGAAAAACAAAAGGTAATAAAAGCTGAGCTTAAAGGGGAGATTAGTAGAATCAATGTTGATTTTTGGGAGATTGGTTTATTTATTAGCGAAATAAAGGGTAATCGTGTTTTTCAAGGACCCGTATCGTGTTATTTTACACCTTCCAGAGCTAAGATAGGCACAATATGTCATATAATATTACCGTTGGCACTACTGACTCTGAGTAGTAGCAATTTGAATCGAAACCTTTACTTACTTACTTACTTACTTAACCTTCTTTTCTGACCAAGTCCTCCAAACACACCCACATCACCCCGCTTCTCCTCCAGCTTCACTGGCTGCCAGTCAACTTCAGGGTTCATTTCAAGATCCTGGTTCTGGTCTATAGGGCCTTACATGGACAAGCGCCATCTTACATTGGTGACCTTCTTAGTCCGTACACCCCCAGCAGGTCCCTGAGGTCCAGTGATCAAAGCCTACTGGTTGTGCAGCACCAGGCTAAAGACCAAAGGTGACAGATCATTTGCTGCTGTGGCCCCCAGACTCTGGAACTCTCTCCCCCTGAGCCTGAGATCAGTGGACTCAGTGGTCTCCTTCAAAAAGCAGCTGAAGACTCACTTGTTCAACGTGGCTTTTGTATGACCTTCTTCACCACTCTCTCTTTATTCTGCTCTCCCCACCTATTCCACCTTCCTCAGGATCCACTGATTTCCCTCTTATCTATTCACTCTCTCTCTTTCTTAACATTTTTTAATCACAACTGTCTATTTTTTGCTCATTTTAAATATATTTTTAACCCTTTTCTAAATTATTTTTTATATTTCGACATTTTTTTGTTTTTGTGAAGCGCCTCGTGATTTTTATCTTCAGAGGCGCTATAGAAATGATATTTTCTTCTTCTTCTTAAAACCAAATTTTATGGTCAGTTTCACAAAACAATGAGTTTTGTTTTAAACCCAGTAACTTTTTCTAAAGTGTGAGGATGAAAACAGACAATTCTAGTGTAAAAGTTGATTACCTGGTTCGTCCACATCAGTCGAGCCACCATACTCATCATCTTCATCCTTCTTTATTGGTGTCTTTTTAGGAGTCTGCTGCTTCTGTGGAGTCTAAACCATCCCAAACCCTGAGTTTTAAAACTGACAGATCTTTTTTCCCTCTTATTATATTTATCGTCTCACTTAGAAAACCAAATGGACCTTTGTTTTTATGTCCTCTTCACTCTGGTCATCCACCTCCATTTCGCTCTCCGAGCTCGACTCAGCTCCATCCATCAAATACCTGAAGGAATAAAGGAAACATAAAGTGTCAGGATGACAAAAGGCCAAAGAGCGAAAGAACAGCTGAACAATACATCTTAGGCTCCCTCTGGTTTACTTGTGTGACATGATTTAACGTGTAATCGGCTTTTGTCGGGCAGCGTTTGCATTTTGGAGTTTGGAAGCTGGCAGAAGGCGTGCTTAGGAATTTATTTTCATTCCAAAAATTCAGCAGTGATTCAGCAGTTCACTTCAGCTCAACGGTTCAGCTCAGTTCTTGAGAAAGCTTCAGAACGGCCATCAGAAGCAAAACCTCTCTGACCCATCAAAGCTTTTGACATGTCGTCAAAATCTTTTTGCACCTGCAAAGCTGATACAGCAAACAGTTCATGCAGAACAAGCTGATATTGTTTCAACTCAAGAGTCCGTCTGACGCGCGGTTCCATCCAACTGTCGTGACCAGAGACATCTCTGGACTGGAGAAGTCGGTGCTGTGATCAATCTACTGGACCTGGGTGCCAGAGGTCATCCGACCTTTCTGACCTTAGGATCCATGAAGATGGTCTCCGAGAACGGGTGAAGTAGAAACACAGATAGCATCTGATGCCTTTTGCTAATAATCAACTTCATAGCTTAACGCAAACCAAATTCTTTACACCAAGAACTCAGCTTTCCTAAATACGGAAGTTCTGATAACATCACATTCACACATAGGCACCATACACTACATCTACTCCATCTAGATTCATCCATTCACAGTAAATATTAGTTAACTTGTCATGTTTTAATTGTTTGTGAATTAAATTCTTACTTTTATAAACCTGACTCTTTTCTGAATCAAAAAGAAGTGTTTACAATCCCTGAATAAAACAAAGAATGCTAGAATCTTCTGATTAAACACCAAGACCAAGCAGGTTGATATTCTATACCAGGGATTCCCGAAGTGTGGTGTGCGCACCCCTGGGGGTGCGCGAGCTGCCGCTAGGGGGTGCGCGAGGTGAAAAGTGTAATGGCTGCGGAGCTCAGAGAAGTCTGTCATGTGTCACCATTAGTGTAGAAACTCATTTGTGGGTGGGCCAAAGAAAAAGTAAGTGGGCACAATAAATGTAATTGAAAACAAGTATATTTTTGCGCGTGTGCCCTCCACATGTGCCCTAGCTTCATAATAACAATGCGTCGAGCTTCAGCACTCTGGCCTGCGCACGCCGATATGTTCCGTATTTGATCATTTTTAACGGTGTTGGAGGAATCTGAAGGTGGTGAGTCATTCTGGCAGATTGTAATTAACACCTGTCTCATGCAGGTGTTCTGACATCGTAAACCTCACACACAGAACATTGTGGATGTAACAAAATAACAAGAAATGATTCCCATTCAGGCTATTGACAGCGCGCTGAAGATCTGAAGTTCAGAGTGCGTCTGTCAGAGGTCAGACGCGTTCCGGCTGAACCACGGCTCACGGGTGCACATGTGAGCACATCTGGGCTGGGCAGAAGTCATTTTACAACATTGGTTTAAATAGCGCGAGACGCGGTGACTTGAGCGGCTGTGCCGCGCGCGCACACACACACACAGATTCAATAAGCGCACACGCTGCTTTAACTCCGGCGCGCCGTCAGACTGAAGGCAGAAATGAACGCTGCCTCCACCGTGATAAAAACTTTTAAGAGGTTATTTTTCATTCAAGGTCAAATTAAGATATTAGCTTCTGGGATGAGTCGGGTCCGCTCCAGCCAGTGACTCCTCATGAACCTGACCACATCTCCTGTTACTGCAGCATTTGTTATTCCGGTCCGCATGACAGCGGATCGCAGATTCAGCCACACCATAAAACAGCAATAAGTCGGTCTGAGGTAAAAGTGAACATCATGGCTATATCTTGTCCCCTATAGACATTTGATTACGCACAAGTAGGTGATCAGCTCAGGTTTACGCAGAGCAGAAGGAAGGAGAGCGCTCTGGCCGCACAGGTTAAATGTTCCTACTTTAAGAAAACCGTTAAATTGCATTGTTTATGTTCTACCTGGGCACTCTAAATATTTATTCAAAATGAAATCAAAGGAAATTGTAATGGTATCGAATGTTTATTAATTACTATTTAAAAAATGAAAGTGATGGGGAATTTTTTTTAACCCTCCCTGTTTAGCTTGACATCTGATATATATATATATATATATATATATATATATATAGAGCCATGCCCCGATGTGGGGGCTGGGGGGGGGGGGGGTGTGCAGCTAAATAAGTTTGGGAACCACTGTTCTATACCTATATAGAGTATCACAGCTTATTGGTCATAAGTAGAGGTAATATATATCGAGCTCTTAAAGCACTCAATTTACCAAACCCTACACAGGTTATCAGCAAAAAAAGTTAATTTAGGCGTTACTTGCTCTTTAAGAAAGACTGTGAGCTAGATCTCATGTTTCTGACGGGAGTGTAGATGGACAATAACTTGCTGATGTATGGTGGAGCCAAGCCATGAGTAGATTTTAAAACAAAGAGGATCCTGTAGTACACAGGGATCCAATGGCGAGGTGCCAATACTGGGGTTACATGGTCACGCTGCATTTTGAACCAGCTGGAGTCTAGTTAAAGATGACTGTTCCAGGCCCAAGTAAAGTCAGCTACAGTAGTCCAAATGACAGGAAACAAACAGATAGATGACATAGTCAGACTTCAGCAAGATACCGTTTAACCTTTGCTAACCGTCTTAGATGATAGAAACCTGATTGGACTACTGAGCTCACCTGTCTCTTCAAGCCAAAAGAACCATCAAGAAAGACTCCAAGATTTTTTCACAAAGGACTTTACCAAGGACGAGCACTGACACCATCATCCGGAACATTCTGATCACCAAAGAGTGAAATCTCCATCTTTGAGTCATTTAGCTTCAAGAAGTTGTGGGGCGTACTTTGCTTAGCTTCGCTCAAGCAGTCTACTAAAAAAACTATTTCGTAGGCGAGTAAATTTGAAGGTCATCAACAACAAAATGGAATGGTGCTGCGTTTGGACAGAAGATACCAGCGGCTAGATCTCAGCATGAAGCAGATCCTAAACACAGCTCCCAAGGCTCATTTTGAGGAGAAATACTAAAACTACATGGGTACTGCTCTGTGCAGATGTAGAAGCAAAATGTGCAGAAACAGTAAGTTCTAAAAAGCCAAATAAGTGACGATAATGATAAATAAATCACTGGTACAATAAGATAGGACCAGATCATCTCAGCTTCCCTCACACATCTATATTACACACAAGCAGAGCTTTATTTTACGCCTCTACATAACTTTTTACTATATTCCTCCAAGCCACCATAAAATCAGATGAAAGTTATATGCTTGAAAGTCTGAGCTGATTTTCCACAGATCAGCTGTGATGTTTTTTTTTTGTTCTCAAAGAAGGAGGACATTTTACTGACCTATGCTTAAGCCAGGAAATTGGAAAATGAAAAATGAGGCTGTGGATGAGGGGAGTAGCACTGAAACGGCTGCTTATGACAGCAGCTGCTATCACATAAAAACAGGCCAACACGCCTGAGCAGCTCATCTAAGATTGGAGATGAGACTTGTTTCTGGGGTAAAATCAGATAACACCACAGCCTGTACCACTTTGTGTTACAACGTAATATTTGAATTGATAACTTCTTTTTTTACTATTATTCTTTTAACATTTTTTTAAAAGGGATAAATGTCACAAATTATTTTTCAACTCATGGCTACTTTGATTTACTAAGATTAAATCAAACATTTTAAATAACTTTCTTCATGATCAAATATGCCAAGAGAACTACATCGTAAATCCCTCAGGGTCCCAAACCAGAATCAGAAGAATCAGAATCCACGTTGTAGTCAATGCCTCAGCACCCTGAAGGATAGAAATTTGTCTCTGCAGTACAGCCTGTCCACGGACTCTCTCACTCTCACTCTCCCTCTCCCTCTCCCTCTCCCTCTCCCTCTCACTCACACTCACACTCTCACTCACACTCTCACTCACACTCACACTCTCACTCTCACTCTCACTCTCACTCTCACTCTCACACTCACACTCACTCTCACACTCACACTCACACTCACACTCACACTCACACTCACACACACACACACACACACACTCACACTCACACTCACACTCACACTCACACTCACACACACACACACACACACACACACACACACACACAAAACATGTAGAACAAAACAGGTACAGGCAGACCACTAGAGCAGCCGTCAAGGCGGTCATTTGCAGTTTACAGAGGTACTCCCGACAGGGGGTAGCTTTGCTATGCCAAAAAACACCTCAAGCATATAGGTACGAACATCAACCAGTTCATAACATGAGACTCCAATGGGTAGGTGGAGGAGTGGTGGTGGGGAGAGGGTGTGGGACATGATTTTCCCCCAGAGAGAGCAGCAGCCATTTCGGCAAGTGCTCGATCATTGTTGAAACACAAGTGGGAGGGAGATCGAGGAGTGAAGAGCACATCGACTCCTTCGGTTGCAGATCTCGCCAGGCTTATGCCCGGATTACACTGTTCGATTTTTGGCCGTCTTTGCCAAATCCCTCGTCCTGAGCAGAATCATGACAAAAAACGGTGAACGTAAGGCTGACTTGCATGTATGTGCACCATGCTGTGAACGTGTAGTGTGACCGGCTCTGCAACAGTTTTTTGAGCCGTCCCACGACCCAAATCAGCATCAGACAGTCTACTCTACAAGCATGCTTGTTATGTGCAGTGCCCCTTTTCGGCCACAGAATGGCCTCAGTAGCTTCTGCCTCAGTCTCCCGGTGCCCAGCTGCAAGCAATTAGATAATTACCTGGTTCAGCTGTCAAAAGCTTCGCCCTTGCTCTCAGTCATGGAGAAGGTACAGGGAAGTGTGGACACGGAGGTGTTCTCACTGCTCTCTTCTCCTCGTGTGCTTGTGCTGGTGTGTTTGCTTCGTGGTTTGCTTTGCTTAGTGGTTTAGACTCTAGATAATAATGATTTCAGATATTTGACTTTGGACTGGCCTTTGACTCCCTGT